TGGTTAGGGAGCTAGAGACAAACATAAATTAACCTGCCTTCCCAGAATGCGCTCTTTCTGTCCTATATGGGCACACCCCGGAGAGCCCGCAGGTTCAGTTCCAGAACACTGCAATAAAGCGAATATCGCAATAAAGTGAGTCACACGAATATATATATTTTTTATCTCCCAGTGCATATAGACATTATGTTTACACGATACTGTAGTCTATTAAGTATGCAACGGCATTATGTCTAAAATAACAATGTATCTACCTTAATCTAAAAATATTTTATTGCTAAGAAATGCTAATCATCATCTGAGCCTTCAGTGAGTCAAAGAAATAACATCAAAGATCACAGATCAGGGCTTCCCTGGTGGCGCAGTGGCTGAGAGTCCGCCTGCTGATGCAGGGGACACGGGTTCGTGCCCCAGTCCGGGAAGTTCCCACATGCCGCAGAGCGGCTGGGCCTGTGAGCCATGACCGCTGAGCCTGTGCGTCCGGAGCCTGTGCTCCACAGAGGGAGAGGCCACAACGGCGAGAGGCCCGCATACCGCACACACACACAAAAAAGATCAAGGATCACAGATCACCATAACAAATATAATAATAATAAAGGTTTAGGGACCCCCCTGGGGGCACAGTGGTTAAGAATCCGCCTGCCAACGCAGGGGAACATGGGTTCAAGCCCTAGTCCGGGAAGATCTCAAATGATGCGGAGAAACTAAGCCCGTGTGCCACAACTACTGAGCCTGTGCTCTAGAGCCCACGAGCCACAATTACTGAGCCCACGAGCCACAACTACTGAAGCCCGCGCGCCTAGAGCCCGTGCTCCACAATAAGAGAAGCCACCACAATGAGAAGCCCGTGCACGGCAACGAAGAGTGGCCCCTGCTCACCACCACTAGAGAAAGCCCGCGCACAGCAATGAAGACCCAATGCAGCCAAAAATAAATAAATAAATAAACTTACAAAAATTTGAAATATTGTGATAATTACCAAAATGTGACAGAGACACGAAGTGAGCAAATGCTGTTGGAAAAAATGGTGCCAACAGACTTGCTCACAGGGTGACCACAAACCTTCAGTTTGTTATAAGCGCAATATCCATAAAGCACAGTAAAGCGAAGTGCCATAAAACGAGATGTGCCTGTAAAACCCTTTACAATGTGAAAGGGAGTGAAGCAGAGGGGTTCAGAGTCCAGCCCTGGAGTCAGCCTTGCCAGCTGTGTGACTCGAGTAAGTTTCTTGCCCTCTCTCTGCCTCACTTTGCCCGTATGTAGAATGGCATTGATAGCAGCACCTCCCTCACTGGCCTGGTTCTGAGCATTTCAGGAGACACCACAGGGGAAGAGCCGCCTCTGGGAGGCACACGGTATTTATCAAAGGGCTCCTGGGACTCATGCCTCAAGCATCTTTGCATAGACATTTCCACGAGCATTTTCACTGCGTAACTAATCGGTCATGAGGCAATTTTGCTGTAAAAGATAAAATAACTGGATGACAGTTTGGTTTGACAGTTTGGTTTAAATTGGTTGACAGTTTGGTTTCATTTCTCCACTGACATAGAACTCTCATTTTAATATTCCATCAATCTCAGCCCTCATGATGGTTTGTACAGTGATGAGTAGATGTGGTGGTCTTAAAATAGAGGATGATAACAACTACATATGTGAACTTGAGAGAAAGTATGGTGATAAAAGTTACTGGAAGTGTGAGGTAAGACAGTATGCCAGGGCACATACTGTACCAGAAAATGATAACATATCGGCTTGCAAATCCTTCAGTGATTTGAAGGCACAGAGTTGAACCTACACCTTTCATAGAACTTTGGAACGTCTATCAGTAGACATGTGACAACCTGCCAAAAACAAACAGTTTTCCCAACTCGATACAAAGCTCAGGTGCAAATATGCATCCTGGTATTTGGAAGCTGATGCCCCTCTTAAGGATGGAAGAAATTTTAGAGAAAAAGAAAAAGTGCAAAGCTGAATGGGGAGATGAGTCAAAAGCAAAATATCTCTAAAATACTATAAACAAAAGACTTGAAAGACAATTGCTTAGGTACAACTCACAAAATAAAATCAATTATCTGTGCAGTATTGCCATAAATTGACACACATTTTAAATGTACTCAATATTTTTGCATTTTGCAATAAAGTCTTTTTAATTTTGTTATTCATTTCTCATGTTTCATTATGTCCTTTTTAATACCCCTCTTTTGGTTTTCATTATTTTATCTTTTACAGCAACATTGCCTTAAGGCCAATTAGTTATGTGGTGAAAATGTTTGCAGTGGAAATACCAGACATGCTATCAAACACACTGTCCCTTCCCATCCTTCAAAGCCTGATCAGATGTTCCCTCCCAGGAGCCTTCCCTGGGCCTCCCATGGGAAATGTCACCACCTCGTTCCCTTTTCCCCTCATCAATGTTGCCATTCTTCCTCCACAGGACACACCTCCGGGATATCAGAAATGTTGGGAGGGGTGTGTGTATACATTTGCTGAGCTGTTAAAAAAAATGCAGGAGTGGCCTTTTCCAAATATTAAACATTAAAGGAGATTTTTAATGATCAAAAGTCAATGAAACCGTGGCAGTTTTCTGACTCCATCCACACTGTGTGGCGTTTTAGTCCATAAGTGTAGAGCCCCCTCTTTTCCATAACATCCCCCTCTGCCTGGCACATGGTATGTTGGGTAATAAATTAATGAATACATGAATTTGTACTTGCTCTGAAAAATACAGTAGATTTTTCCAAGAGCAAAGTTCTGAGGTCTGTACCTTGAACTCTCTGGAGGAAATGAGCTAAGGAAACTGATTACAGGCAGAAAAGATAGTAACGGTAATACAGTACATCATCTACTGAGGGTGGCTCCCCCAAAAGATTTGCCCACATCCTAACCCCTGAAACCTGTGAATATGAACTTAATTTGGGGAAAAAAAGGGCTTCAACATGAATTTTGAGGGGACACATTTCAGTCCACACACCACCCTAGGCCAGGCTAATCAGTGCATTCTCTTACTTGGTCACTTAGAGTAGGACCCAACGTTATCCCTAGGCATGACATTTGCTGCAACTCTCAGGCAACCGGAGCTCTCTTTTCCTCTTCATTGAGGAAAACATGAGGCTAGATAGAGCAGCCAGGGGCCTATGGAGAGAGCCTCGCGGAGAGAGCCTCGCAGAGGGTGCAGCCCACTGAGAAGAAAGCAGAGCTAAGAAGTGGATTGAGCGTACCTAGATCCAGCCATACTGAAGCAGGAGCCCCATGGACGTCTCAGTTAATATGACAATAAAATGCTTTCTAAGCTGTGTTTCTGTCACCTGCAACCCAAAGAATCCTGACTAATAGACCGTGATCTCACAGCTAATAGTAGTGGGAATGGGGATCTGAAAGCATTTCTGCTCAGCTCTGAGAGGCTTTCCTGGGAGAAATCTTGGTGCTTAAGCCAGGAGCATCCTCTGAGTCCTGATTCCCAGATGGCATGTGGGTTCTGACATTTTTAATCTATTTACCCTTGCTCTCCGGGAGCAAGGAAGGTGCAAGAAGCGTAAATAAGTACAGTTAATTGTTTAAATAAATTCGGATAATTAAATAAATGCCGATCATTCCAGGGAGCGCTCCCTGTTATGAAACAAAACAAAGCTTCCTGGACTGAGGTCCCAGGGTAGGTCCTGACAAAGGACACTTCTCAGCAGTTGAGGAAGGGACTCCCCTGTCCCCTTCCCTGGGTCCTGCCTCCCAGCTTCTCTGGAGACAGGTTCAAGGCACAGCTCTGCTAAAAGCTGTGTGACTTTGGGCAAGGGGTGAACCTGCCTGCACCTCAGTTTCCTCATCTGAAAAATGGGGAAAGTAATAGTGTCCCTTTCATAGGATGAACTGGGGAGCGAATGTGTAAGGTGATCAGCACAGTACTGGCACGCAGTTATGACCTTTGTAAAGGCTGTGATTATTACTTCAAGGCTGGATCCTCCTCATCCAGGTCTCAGACCAACTGTGGGTCTCAGACCCACAGAGAGCCTCAGGCTTCCACAGGGCAGCCCCTACCTTCACACTCCCTCACACAGTTTTGCTTCTTTCAGAGCATTTTCTGCTGTGGATCCCTTCTCTTTCGGTTTCCTTTTCTCAAAAGGCAGTAAGCTTTATGGAGGGCAGAAGCCTTGTCTATTTTGTCAACTGCTATTTCGCCAGCACCTGGTCTCCCGCCTGGCACATAGTAGGTACTCAGTAGATACTGGTTTGAATGAAGGACACCGGCACACTGGCACGGGCAGCTTCCATTCCAGGGCCTGCCACGCCACCAACACCACGCCACCACGACTTGCTGGGGGGGCGGGGGATGGACGGTTCCGTCGTGCGCCCTTTTCCCCTCCTTTCAACTTCCCAGTGTAACTTTGTGTGAATACCACTGCAGAAGCTCCCTGGACAAGGCTACCGCCCCGCAATCAGAGCCTTCCTGGTTCTGCCTTCGGGGAGGGAGGATAGGGGTGGCCCGCGGGAGGCCAGTTGCCAGCGCGTCCTGAAGTCCCTCCCGCCGCCTCGCGTCGCTTTAAGGCGGAGGCCCGGGAGGGGGCCGACCCCGCCCGCCCGCTCGCCTCGCGGCTCCAGACTTCGGCATTTCCTCCCCGCTAGCTGGCGCGGCCTCGCCTCCCCTCGGAAGAGGAAACTCCCGTGGCCGAGTAACGGGAACAAGAGCGGAGGGGAGCAGCGGGGGACTCCGGGGACCCACGGCGCCGGGAGGGCGGCCCGGGGTAGGAGGCGAGCGCAGCGGGACCAGAAGCTGGCCGAAGGCGGCGCGCCGGGGAGCGGGGCGGGGAGGGCCGCCGGGCCGGACGCAGCGCGCAGTCGGCACGGGGCGCGGCCGGGAGCCGGAGCGTGCAGGGCGGGCCGCTGCTGGAAGGAGCGCTTGAGCTGGGAGTGGAGGCCGAGCTGGAGGGCTGCTTTCCCCGGCCCTGCGACGGGGTCACCGCCGCGGAGGCGAAGGGAACAGGGACAGCGGGGCTGCCCGGGCGCTGCGCGCATGCTGGGCCTGGGACGCCGCCGGGGCTCGCGCCCTGGGCTGCTCGGCCGCCGCTGCCCCGGGCGCCCGGCATGTCGGTGCACTACACCCTGAATCTCCGCGTCTTCTGGCCCCTGGTGACTGGCCTGTGCACCGCCCTCGTGTGCCTCTACCATGTCCTGCGGGGAAGCGGGGGCGCCCGGACCGAGGCCCCCGAAGGCGCGGACGGCGGCTTCCCGCTGCTCAAGGTGGCCGTCCTGCTGCTCCTCGGCTACATCCTCCTGCGCTGTCGCCACGCTGTCCGGCAACGCTTCCTGCCGGGGTCTCCCCGCCTGGGGGGCCACTCCGCCTTCTCTCCTAGACACTTAGGAGAGCCCAGCCTCGACATCTTGCTGGAGAGTTACTACGAGCACGAGGTGCGCCTGTCGCCGCACGTGCTGGGCCACAGCAAAGCACACGTGAGCCGGATCGTGGGCGAGCTGGTGCGGGCTGGCCGCGCCCGAGGGTCCCCAGGCCCTATCCCCGGGGGAGCGCTGGCCTTGGCCTTTCGCGGAGATTTCATCCAGGTAGGCAGCGCCTACGAGCAGCATAAAATCCGCCGGCCCGACGGCTTCGACGTGCTGGTGCCGCTGCGCCTCCCTCCCCTGGTGGCGCTGGAGCCGCGGAGCCTGGGCGCGGAGCCCGCGCTGGCCCCAGCCTTCCACGGCTGCTTCGTGTGCGCACTGAAGGCGCCGCCAGGGGCTTCCGGGGGCCACTGGCTCCGGGACTGCAAAGCCTTCGCCGACGGCTTCTGCGTGGATGTGCGCGGGCGGCGCCATCTCTCGGCTACGTTGGTACTGCGCTGGTTTCAGTCGCACCTGCAGCGCTCCCTGGCCACGGTGCGCTACAGCCTGGAGGGGCGTTGTCGGGTCAGCCTGACCCCAGGTGGCCTGGAGCAGCCCCCTACCCTACACGTCCTGCCCTGCCGCACCGATTACGGCTGCTGCCGCCTTTCCATGGCCGTGCGTCTCATCCCTGCCGTCCACTTGGGCGACAGTGTCTTCCTGGTGGCCCCACCACCGCCACCCTCACCCGTCGGGCCCCTGTCGGAGCTCCCGGGAGGCCTGCGCGCCGATGCACTGTGGGGTGTGAACACGGCGCGCCAGGAGCAGAAGCTGCTGAGCTGGCTGCAGGAAAGGGCCCCTCCAGGTGCCTGCTACCTCAAGTGCCTGCAGTTGCTTAAAGCTCTGCGAGACCTGGGCGCCCGCGGGCTGGACCCGACGGCCGCCACCCAGTGGGGACGCATCCTATCCTCATACGTGCTCAAGACAGTGCTGCTGGCGGCGCTGCTACGCCAGGGGGCTCCCGCACAAGGCTGGGACGAGGCGCACCTGGGCGAGCGCTTGGAAGAGCTAGTACAGCTCCTCAGGGATTGCCTGTTGCGACGCCGTACACTCTTCCACTGCCTCCTGGGCCCTGGAGGGGCGGCCGCCGAGGTGGGCCCACTGCCCAAGGTACTGCGTGAAGCCACCCCGGTTGACCTCCTGGCCACTTTCGACAGGCAGGCCCGGGAACTCGCGGCAGCACGGTTGCTGTCCACGTGGCGAAGGCTGCCCCAGCTTCTCCGGGCCTATGGGGGTCCCCGCTACCTTGCCAGGTGTCCCCCACCCCGGAATCAGCGCCCCCAGGGGTTCCCTGAAGATGAACCATAAACCCTGCCAGAGCCCCAACCTGGCCTGGTGCTCCTGAAGCCTCACCCACCAGGTGGGGGTGGGGATGGCAGTGAAGCCAGTTTAAAGCAAGGAAGATGACCTGCAGAAGGTGTTGGAACGTTCAGAGGATGACATTTGGTGGCTTCAACATCACCCCCTGGCTCCACAATCCAGATAGCTGTGGCATCTTTTTCACGCCTACCAGAGTGTCCTGGGCAAGCTACGGAAAGACATTCAACGTTAGCAGCTAAGAGTTGGTCCAAATGTTGGTTTGTGTGGAATGATTCTGTAGAAGGATCCAGCTTTTAGGGAGGTTCAGTAAAGGAAGCAAGAACTAGCTTCAGGGAAAGTTCCCCTGTGGGTTGTTTAGACAGATCTCTCTGGCCCCCACATTTAAAGATGCTAATGTTTTTTGACACAACTACTTGGTAGGTCCTGGGTTCCTGATTGTCTTTTAAAAAATCTGAATCTTTATCTACGACTGGAATTGTAGTTCTATTCCAGAGGCTCATGTTCTGAAGAACATAATTTCCACTGTTCAGATTGATATTAATGTATTTTTTAAAGGCCCATCACAGGTGTTTGACAGGATTATGAAGAATTAAGTCACAGGTGTTGAAAGGCAGTCAAGAGTTGGTTAGTGAAACTTCCAGAGCAAATAGCACTTTATTTTGATCAGTTCTTTCATTTTGTGGTAATTGCTAGTGCCAAGTGTGGCATCTGAAAGGGAGGCCAGTTACATTGACTATTAAGAAATGTGCAGTCTTGAGGAGCAGGCTTGCTCAACACCCCTCTAGGCACGCGCTGGGATGTGCACCAGTCAGCGCTGATTCATTGAGCGCCTGCTGTGAGCCAGGCACAGTGCAGAGTGGCAACAGGATACGTGCTTCAGACAACACTGGTGAGGGCATGAAACATGTTGGGTCTCGAAAAAGATGTATTGATATTTCACGCTTTGCCTAGCAAGATGTCTCGCCAGGGCTTGCTGCTGGCTGGAGACAGAAACCTTTTTTTTTGAGTCTTTTTGGCAAACCCCTTTGCATGGAAATTTCTTTCTGAGTTTAATGAGATAATGAAGAGGCAATGCCTGCTTTCAGCCAATGCTCAGTGATCCTCCGTGGCTGGGAAGTTTTGCTCTCATTGCCCAAGCAGCCTTTAAGTGGCTCGAAGCCCACCTTTGAGGAGTGGTTGATTCAGTACAGGTCTTGCAATGCATTTCACTTAGAGTTCAGTATCTTGGGCTCTGTGCTTGAAGATCAGTTATTTCCCAATCAGCTGACAGAGGAGAAAGACAGCAGAGGAGGGCAAGGTAGGGGGAGATGGAGGGAGACAGCCTTTGTCAGCTGTCTGTTCTTTCTTCTCTTTGGGCATAGATATCACCAGGCTGGGTGTATTTTGCAGCTAGCGTATTCTGAAATCCCTCACCGTCCTCCCAGATTTCTAACAGCTCTCAGTTGCATCAGTCGACATAAAACTCAGTTGAAGTTTAGAATGGTCCATCATCTGCTGAATAGAAAATGCAGCCAGTCCCAGTGATATACTTTGGGATTTTTATAGCTTTGGGATTTTTTTTTTTTAACGGAGACTCTTAAAGGTAAAACTTGGAAGACAGAAGTAGCCATGTGAATTGGGCCATTGTTTAATTTCTGAGCTATTTTGAGGGAACTCTTTAAACTTTCTTTCTTTAGGGGACCTGCTTGGCCACTGTGGGGAAATCGTTGTGAATAAATGATTTATAGGGAATCCTTCTCATCAGAGCTACAGAGATTTCTTACGTCCTTTGCAACCTTGGGCTGTAAGAGAAACAGTTGCAAATGTTGTGCTGTGTCTTTGAGGTTGTTTGGGGACATTTCCTCTTGATACCACAAAGTCATTCCTAGTTTTTGAGGTCAGTGTTAGGTCATAAGGTACTGCATTTAGAACAGGAATCAGTCTACCAACTTCCTGCGAAGATATAAACTGCACAGTGTTTTTTAAAATTATTTTTAAAATAAATTCCAAGAGTAGGTAGATCTTTATATAAATATATATATTTATAATGTTTCCATACTCAGCTACAATTTCCCCTGTAGTTGGAGTGGGGGAAAGCGAGGCTATTAGAGGGATTATAAAGCTTTAAAAGCTGAATTTTCCAAATATTTCTAGCTGAGTTGATAGGTTCCTCTTTTATCTGAATAGCATTTTGAAGTTTGAATCTGGTAACATACAGTTCTTGTTTCTTTGTGGGTTTTTTTGTTTTTTTTCAGGTTAATTACCCAAAGCCTCATCCATCCTCAAGATTTTTAAATTTTATTTTTTTTAATTAATGGGGCATTGTGTTTGTGAATTTTAAAAATATTAATGTTTTATTTAAATGCCATGCTGAGCAATTGTTCTCTGTACATGGTAACCAAAAACTTAAGAGATTTCGATCAATTTTGATCAATGTTTAGTAATCCAAAACATGTACTGTGTACAAATAAAACAATATGGCATATTAGTCAGGTGTGATGGTTGCCCAAGGCACTTAAATTAAGCTCAGTTCTGTATTTTATTAGGGCTCCATCATGTCCTTGATCTGAAATATATACATTTTTGGTGTATACTTGGTACTGGAGATTCATATATTGCAAATATTCTCATACAAGAAAGCTCAGAATTGTTCGTGCTTTTAAAAAAAAAGATTAACTGTCCAGCCAGTGTCCGAAGAAAGTGTTTTGGGGAGATGACTCAGCCATTTTGCCTTAAGACACCCGTTCAGTAACTCCCACTGACCAGTCCTGGGAGTCATGCCGGAATGCTCGTGGGCTGAGAGACGGAGACTCTCAAAATGAGAAACTAAATGACGCTGAAGCTAAAAGGGAAAATGTGAGCAAACCAAGAGAAATCCGAAGCTTTCGGGAAGGAGGACTTAAGATGGACGTGAAACGAAGAGCTGGGCAGAAGGGGAGATGGGGTGGAAATCATATGAGGGTGCGAGAGAGGTCTGGGTTAGGAAACCCATTTTCTAGGTACTTCAAACCAGGGGTCGCAAACCCAGCAGCCCCTGCAGAAGCAAGGTAGGGAGGCAAATAAGAGAAGGGTTGGGTGGTGATGGGGGCTGTGCCCTTTTCAGGGGCCGCGTGGCTCAGCTCCATGCGGGGAAAAGGGTAGGGTGGGGCTGGAAATAGAAAAACAACAAAAAAGAAACTTTCTGATTTTTAAACAACATAATTTAAAAATATCCAAAACACAAGTGGGCCAAAAAACACATTTGGTTGAGCCTGGGGGCCACCAGTTTGCGACCCCTGCCTTAAGACGGTAACCCCTCAAGTATGTATAAGGTTATATTTATTGTTATGGATATGATGTTGTTATACATGGTGGGGGGGCATGATATTTCAAGTCTGCTTTATCGCTCAGAGCTAAGCTTTATTGTAGAAACAAACCCCCCAAATTAACACGGCCACAGATAACACTTAACTCACAATTCCCGGAAGGATTCTCCACCCTGGACTCGTAGGAGTCAGATGGGACATCAGACCACTAGGGGCCAGCTCTTGGCATTTCCTTCCTGGTGAGTTGGGGCCAAACTCCTTGGCTCTGTCGGAGTCTGCAGGTGAGTAATCAGGAAGGATTGCAGAATAACTTGTTTTCTTCTTTATTTGTATTTTATTTTTATTTTTAAATTAATTATTATTTTTTTTTTTAGTAGTTTCCTAGCCTTTGCAATGATGGTTGGTGGCCGTGAACACCAGCAAAGTAGTGCTGGGTCTCCTAGCCAAGTTTCTTAGGCTTGTTACCAGCCCCAGTGCCAAGAGAAACTGTTCTGATCATATGTTTCTATCCCTTTCTGACTCCGTGGCTCCCACCAAAACTGACATCCTAGCCTTCTGAAGGAATGAAACTAATAGCCTTCCAAAGTGTCTCCTTTAACCTCATGGAGTAAGTCACCTTTTCCGTAAAATGTGGCTTTTGACCGTGACGATGACTTATCGTATCCACGTGGAGGAAGGTTATTACCTCCCGCCCCAGTGGTGGGAAAAATGAACCTGGTGAACATTCCCAGTATCCCTTGGGAAGGAAAAAAGTTCAGTGTTATCATTGTGGCATTTGTTAGTTTTTATAAAAAATTGCATGTCTGTTTCTTAGACACTACTGTTTATTTTTTCTATACCTACATAGCACATGATTTGGTGGGGATGAAGCAAGTATAAGCTGGGAGAGGACGAAGAGGTATGTGATCATCCGTACAGAGAGAACAGACTAAAACATGCAGCTAAATTATATGTAATCTGGTTTTAGAAGTATCAGATATTCAGGAATATTTTTAGCACCCTTTGCTTAAAAAAAAAATTGCCTTGATTCAGTCACTTGACTTTAAAACATTCCTCTTATTTTACTGTTATTTTTAGTGTGGATTTTGACCCCAAACTGTGTATTATGATGCAGTCTATTGGCTGTGGTCATAGTGTATGTTTTGTTCCAATAACAGAGACCAAAGAGGTAATCAACTATGGTTCAGCTGCTACAGTTGTGTGATTAAAAGGCGTTCTAATCACACCAGATTTCCATGGCCCAAATAGTCGAGGCCAGCCATTTGTTTTCTATTTCAGGTTGGAGTAAATTTGCACTTTTAATCATATGGGTCATTTGGGGACCTTGTTCTTTCATACTTTGCTTTATTAATAAAGGAACTTGTAGAAACCTGTGAACTGAACATCAGATTTGGGGAGGGTTGTCTTCCTGGAGAGCAGCCTGTGGCTACACTGGCTTGTGATTCCTTACACAGGCCCACCTGCTTTCAGTGAGTGGGTGTATGGGACTTTTTTCCACACGGCAAAGCTGGGATCATTGTACAGAATTGGCACCATACACAGGTGGGAAAGGTTGCCAGTTCATGGCTCTGTAGGCACCCTGGGGGCCTGCCTTCAAGTCTTTTTCTGATCGAGAACCTTCTGGCCCTGCCCCTCCTCTGTCACCCACCTCCACCCCCTCCACCCTCGGCTCTCACACACCAGCCCAAACACAACTCAAGTCTTGGCCTGTGGCTAATTTATAGCTCAAGAATTTTGCCCAGAAATCTCTTAGGC